CCCCTGAGATACTGGAAGACTGCTATCACGTCCTTCTTTTCAATAGACTATACATACCCAATTCCAGCAATTGTTCTTTATATGGTTTAGCCTCCAATCCCCTGATCATCTTTCTTGCTCTAATAGGCTCTGCAAAGGAAGCTTGGATGAGTTCAGGGTGACTTCAAAGTCTCTTCTAACAAGGACTTTGCCTAGGGACCCCCAGCAGCAGAGGGGAAACACTCCACTTAATGTAGGATTAAAGCTGTGTAGAAGCGAGAAATATAGAGGGAAATCAATAAGGTAGAAATCAAAGGGTCTATTTTGCACCTTTCTTTGGATAAAAAAGAGGTTCCTGGGATGACCAAATTAGGTTCCCATAATGCTAAGCCTCTGCAGAAAGACCAGCTTATTTTTCCACCCTACGACTTCCCCCAGAAACTATCCAAGAGTCACTCGGAGCTCTTCACAACTCAAGACTCCGCTGGGTGGGATCCCAAGATGACGTTGCTGATGTCCCATGGCCTCAATGCCAAACCCTTGTCTCTTCTCTTCTCCAGATCTTCAAGACTTGTCCCTTGTGATTCTTAATATCAACAGCCCCACCAGTATCTTCAACAACCACAAACTGATCCTTCACATCTCCATGTTTGATGCTGCAAGAGTGAGAGTTTTCCACGCAGCTGGTAGGTGGCTAGGTCCTTGCTCCCTGGCTTGGTGGCGTTTTCCAGCGCTTGTGGGGGATTACATCATCATGTTGCCTTTTCGATGAGTCAGCCCAACAAAGTGGTACTAGACTAAGGGATCAAAGCCAATGAGATCAGAACTGCTTTTGATCTGTAGTGGCAGAATTTTGCAAGTCTGGATGGGCTACTTTATCTGCATTTGCAGTAGACCCAGAAACCATCTCCATTCTGATAGCTCTTTTCTATGACAAATTGGATGAGAGGTGTTGGTTTCATGGCTTCTCCTTCTCCTTCTCCTTCTTGTTGTTATTATTATTATTATTATTACAGTTTCTTGATGTATTTTGCAAAGTTTTGAGACATAGTTCCCAGTGCCCCAATGACAATGGGTATCACTGTTACACGTTTCATCCATAATTGTGCAATTTTGATGGCCAGGTAGCAATATTTCATTATTATTATTATTATTATTATTATTATTATTATTATTATTATTATTATTATTATTATTATTATTATTATTATTATTATT